GCGTTGGAACAATTGGCAACATTTTGACGGCAAAAATGTAGTGTTCTATTTTTATAGGAGACCCACATCCACAGGAGAATGGATCAAATAATTCGCACCAGACGTAATACACTACTCATTAGGTTGCTGAATATCCTACCAACTGAAACATCAGGCGGCCTGGTGCAGTACATTCAGGTGCCTAGAGACATGACAAACGAGAGATTCAGCTGGGTTCCAGGCGAGTCTCTCGCAAAATCAAACTGGTTTTCAAATGAGTGTATTTCGCTAATCCCATGCAATTTGGGTTAAAGTAGAACATAAGGTTGACGAAAACTAGGGAACTGCACCTACCTGATGAGCCCCAAGAAGGGCGAAGCCGGTCGTGGGCTGTCGAAGAACTTTCAGCAATCTTATGAGTAGTGTATTACGTCTACATCGTTCGTGCGACTGGCCACAAAAGAACCCTAGTCTAACCATGAACAAATACAGAACGGATAATAAAAAATGGCGTTCAGCAGAACCCAGAGTCCAGATACATAAACCTGAGTACGTGAATATAATTTTTAGCACCAATTTCAGGTTGTCTGTCTGTTTAAAAATCACAAAAAGGGGGCGATGGAAATATTAGCTCGCATTCTGACGCCCCGGAGTGGCCGCTGATTTCAACTCCGGACGTATGAAGTGAATTCACAGAAAACGGTACGAGAACTTGCTTATGTCCAATACGTACATGAATAGTATTCTGCGATTGTGCAACAGAATGGTTTATAATTAAACTTTCTGCGGTTACTGCATACTTAAACTGCCCCTCTTAGAAAAGCTTTACATGGTCTTCATTGAATCCGTTTGCTCCCTCTCCATTGACTCCGAGTTTCGTTTTCGTGATGTGAGTCAACCCGTCCGAGTAGGCAGTACAGCGTAGTGTTGTGATGTCTTAGCTGCTGTTGTATGTCCACTTGTTGCTACTGCCTCAAGTGAGTGAATACTGTTGTGTCACGACGATGTACAAATGTGTCTGTCGGTGTTTGTGGATTAATGTAATGCGACGTTGTGCACAAACCTTGCGACAGTCTAGATAGGAACAGAACGCGCTACAGAGTTGGCAAGCTTGTTTTCGCATAAAGCACCAGAGGACTAATACCAGTTGGCAGGAAAAAAGGTGAAATATTATTCGACACAGGTGGACAGGTACCCCATGCAATTTGGGTTAAAGTAGAACATAAGGTTGACGAAAACTAGGGAACTGCACCTACCTGATGATCCCCAAGAAGGGCGAAACCGGTCGTGGGCTGTCGAAGAACTTTCAGCAATCTTATGAGCTGAATCGCGATATCTCGAATATCATAGCGATTGAAACATGAGGCGGCCTGGTGCAGCACATTAAGTGACTTGACAAAATCATAAACGAGAGATTCAGCTGGGTTCCAGATGAATCTCTCACGAAAACAAATATGTTTGCAAATTAGTGTATTTCGCTAATTCTGACTATATCTTTTGCGAGGCCGACCTCCCTCATCATTGTTAATTTCCGAAAACAATTAAATGTCATTGAAACAAACGGATCTGTTTTCACATGGCGGACGGTTCCACCTGTAACACTGCCCCTTCCTTTGATCACTCTATGGTGCGAACCTGACCAAGTTGCACTCGTTCGAAACGGATACAATGATTTCTTGTCGGTATACATTTGAATCCACCTCTCATCATCATCTCGTCCATCTTGCGTTGCGACAATTTGACTTTTTGACGAACGTCTCCCGTCGATTATTCCTGTATTTCGAAAACTTCGGGGTTGCACGGATTTTTTGGGAAGAAACAGAGTCATGCAGATTACTGGCAACAAGGACGTCCAACGCGTGGAATGTGTGTAAGATTCGTGATGCCATAACATCGGCAGACAACTGACAGCACTTTCGCAGGCAATAGTGTTAGCCAGTACCGACGGAAATGGTCATTACCCGGGAAGTATCCAGAAAAAAATATTCTGTTGAATATTTGCCCTTACGTTGGCAGTAAAGCGAATCTTTTACAATGCCGAATGATTTCTTCTCCGTTTCGGAAGAACCCTAAACGGCGCTTTACCTAAACTAAAAATGTCGCATAAAAAACACGCATGATCCGTGGATGGTCAGCCGTGATTCTTGATAGACGTGCTTTACGTTCGCTTTGTTTGTCCTGTTGCACAAAACCGGGGGAGGGAGAGTTGATTGATAACATTTGGTTCTACCTTTTTTGCGGTCAGGCATACATCATTGAAGCCGGTTTTAGTCGCGGAGATGCTTATTTGTTCCCCACTGCATACCTTATTGGTTTTAATCCACTGCGACTCACCTATATGGTTGTACTTTCGGCCTTCCCTCGCTGCACATGAAACATATTTACGGAGCGAGAGCACAACTGAAATTTATCAAAACTCTTCACACCACTGTCACTCTGTAAGCAACTCGGAGGACGGATACTTTCACATGAACAGCGAAATTTTCGTCTGATTGGTCGTCAGTCGGGGAACCAGTCAACGTATGACCACGTGACTAAACGATAATTGGCTACTTGGTCACGCTGAGTGGGTCGTGGTCGGACGGTCAGGTGTTCAAACAGCTAGTCGTAGGGAATATACTCCCATTTGCAAACTAATTTGGTTTTTTCGAGAGACTCACCTGGAATCCAGCTAAATCTCTCGTTTATGATGTTCTCAGGTAACTGAATGTGCTGCACCAGGCCGCCTCATGTTTCCGTCGCTACGATATTCAAGATATCGCAATACATGTATATATTTGTAATGTACTACTCATAAGGTTGCTGGAAATCCGTCGACAGCCCACGACCGGTTTCTTCCTTTTTGGAGCGTATCAGGTAGGCGCACTCCTCGGATTTCCGTCAACCTTATGTTCGACTTGAAACTAAATTGCACCAAATTAGCGAATATACACTCATCTGCAAACTAATTCGGATCGTTCGAGAGACTCACCCGGAACCCAGCTGAATCTCTCNCTCTCGTTTGTGAGGGTTGTGGGCTAGAAACTCTCTGGTGACGTTTTGTGGGATGCGCACTGATTCTCAATAAGAATGAAGTGTGCTTATGCTTTTTAGCATGGACTTACTTCACTGGCGGGACGAAATCATGGCAGAAAAACACCAAATTACCCCATACTACTGTCGATTTTTGTTTAGTTGATGTCCGATACTCATCTTGTCATAAGTGGAACAGTGCATACTATGTAGACAGTCAGAATAAGGTATTGAACATTTTGAACTTGAATTTCTCTAAAGTGTAACTGCGATCAGGAAGAAAGGGTGATTACCGATAGAAATAGTGAGAGGAAGCGAGCAGGCCTGAGTGACAGGACGATACTCAAAACAGATTACCCAGCTGAAAACTGTTGTGGAGAAATACCGCTCAGCCACCCACGCGACACACGACTGGACGTCGCTACTTGCAATGAAGCTGGAGTTTTGGGGTATCTCATAAACAGTTACCCCTCTCCGAACAGTCTTCAGGCGATCCTAACGCGAGCATTCACGCCAAATAGCCAGAACTTGAGTTTACTTCTCACTGGAACTCAGCAGTTATTCTTCCACTCTGGGGTATGGCCTCCAGACATCTGACGCGGATGCGAGCGCGTCACCCTTACTCTGCCGGTGAATGTTAGGAACTACCGAACATATTTTTAGTACTAAAAATGTAGCGAGGCTTCAAACACTTACGCAGTCAAAGATCCTGGCTGCGTCTATCGATTGACACGTTTCTCACATATGTCCTTCAAACACGTCAGGATGTTTGATGTGATTGGCAGCATCGAGATGTATGGAATCTGTTTGCACACTATTTCAGCCGTATTCCTCCTATGCTGGACCAACTATTCTGCTTGGTCCACGTAATGGTTTAGAACTTGGAAACTGAACATGTTGGTGATGCCTTGGATACGTTCGTCTCTGACGTTTAAAACCATGAAACGAGGTGCAGCGTGTTACAGCCAAGATGGCTGTACTTGATCGTCTAATCACGCATGCAGTCTCCTATCTGAGTCAGTCAGCTAAACCAAATGGGCTTGCTAAATACGGTCTCGCAAAATCGCCCACCACTGTGATTCACTCGCATTCCAAGTGAGAGAACAATGCTCCAGTAATTTTTGAGCTCACTACGTGTAATGCCGTTACATTATATGATGAAAAAATCGTGACTGGCTGTAACAATTACCCATAGTTTAATTGAACCCGTTTTCAACACTATCTGAAGTTCAGTCTCTTACCCGTGATTACAAGGAAGTATTTTAAGAACCGAGGGTAGGAAGGTGAACACATACGTTGTGCCAAGAACACAGCCTGAGGGCTTGGTCGGTGCCTTACTCGATGCGTCGAAGAAGAAGCACTCAACCGATTGCGATGTGAAGGAATAACTCAAGGCACGGCGTTTCCGGAGTTGGCTACACCAGTTGTACAAATACGGGAACCAGATGGCACATTCAGAATCTGCGGTAACACTGGGAAGTTTTCGTTCTTTGAGGTATCAATGTGTTGAGATTGATTCCGAAACAAAGTTGGAACAAAACCATAGAAATTCATTGTACAGGGATAGTCTAATTCTCACATTGTGGGATGATCCAGCAGTCACAGCGGCATACCAGGCTGACGTATGAACTTCCAGACTGTTTTCACCGATTCTCCACCGCTCAGCTGATGGTATGTCTTATTCTAGAGTACCTACAGATTATTTTTGTAATGTACTACTCATAAGGTTGCTGAAAATCCATCCACAGCCCACGACCAGTTTCGCCCTTCCAATTCGGGCTCATCAGGTAGGCGCAGTCCCCGGGTTTCCGTCAGCCTTATGTTCTACTTGAAACCAAATTGCCTGAGAACATCATAAACGAGATGTTCAGCTGGGTTCCAGGTGAGTTTCTCGAAAGAACCAAATTAGTTTGCAAATGGGTGTATATTCATTAACCTGCGAGAAACTTTCTTCAAAATGTTCTCGAATGCACAAATATTTTATTAAATTTCATATCTATTATCCTCAGGGTGGAGAAAAACTGAAAAAAGCCCTGGTGAAGGATGATCTGTGGGAGGTTGAACGAGTTCTGTCAGACCATCCAGATGTGGGGAAGTTAATTGCTTCGGAACCACTCCAAAACAATGTGTCAACCATGCTGCTCCGTCCAACTGATGTGAGTGATGACTTCTGGAGATGTGAGTTGGTGAGTAACACTCAAATTATCACTCCGTTGAGTGAGTATGCTTCTTACTTTTCGTGGGTAAGTGCGAAGCGTGCGTTCGCTGAGGGAAGTCTAACCAAACTTCACCGCACATGAAGGAAACTTGCATCTTAAAAAGTGTCATACTAAACCTCTAACTATACTAGCTCACCTCTGTTGTTTATGGCATGATGGGTTCCCGGATGATGACCTAGAGGTCTTCTTCGCACTTTATCCAACACAGAATGCTTCTGAACGTTGTGATATCCAAGTGGCTAACAATTCATTCCACACGAATGCCGTCACAACGAACTGTCCGCTCCAAAAACGTTTTTATTTCAAGACAGGGGCGCAGAGTTTATGGTAAAAAACAGATCGGTCTATAACGAGAATTACCCTACAACAGAGGGACCACACCGGCAGAAATTATTGCGAAACAAAACATTTCGCTTTCATCAGGTTTATGAAATCTTCTGAGTTATCTGTGGTGTTCGGGCCCCACAGAATGGAATAAGTTGCATAAAAATAAGCCTAACAACGTACGGCATGTTGGTGCATACCAGAAATAGTGATTTATCCACTGTCCATCTGTACATCGGTGTCGTTCGCCGGGTTCAGAAGCTTCGGTTCCGCCTTGTTTATGAATTAATTTTAAACTACTAACGAGTAGTATAAAGTTAGGTATCATAAGGATCCCAAACACGCTGTCGATCGTTTCATCAATACCTGCGCTAAAACATACAGTTCACTAATTAGGAGCGAAGTCCCATTAATCACATGAACCGACTGTCTGCTTTCTCCTTTTCATAGCCCTGTCCAGAGTTGCAATCTGGCAGAAGGGGTCCCGGATCGGAATGTAGTCACAACAGTGCCACCTCAGATAGTATAGATATTGTTTCTTTAGAGTTTTAATCCACAAGGATTGCAAACTACTCAAACATTTTGGATGGTGATATGTTTAACCTTCCTGATGGAGTACACGACTCACAAGGTGGCAGTCTTTGATGGTCCACTACCGGTTGGCTCGTTGTTAGAGTTCGTCCGGTAGCCGTAGGTACTGAAGCTTTCAGCAGCCTTATGTTGTTCTGATTACAGAAAAGTCGTTCAAAAGTCAATCAGCGCGGTCCGGGGCTTTGTGGTTCACGTGATGGGTGCCTTGTTGCGTCGTACAAAGCCCAGCAACTTCATGTGAATTAGTATGGTGGGTGAGAGGGTTCAGTGGTTAGAATGTGAATTTACTGGCCGGAAAGTCCGTGGTTCGAACCCGACCTCTGCCTCTCGACTTCCCCTGTCTAGGCTTGGGCAACCTGGTAGTATCCCAGTCCTCTGCTTCCTTCTGGTGGATTGTCAGTTAGATACCGAAAGGGTGCTACAGCTGAACGATTTTTTATGCTGATAGCTTGTTCTTTAGCCGAAAAGGAAACACTTGGAAGTGTACCTCGGATAGAATGGATCGATAAAACTACGGCAACGGTGACATTTTTTCACGGAAAACTGATCTAAACAAGGTTTTCTGTCTTTACTCAATCGTGATTTATGAATGATGTTAACTAGATAAGGATAGCTTTGGAGCACTTGATGATGGAAGCGTTTAGAAGCCCATGTCTTGCCAGCTCCATCCGTGAGCTATCAACATCTTATATTATGTGCAGTTGGGTGAAATCGCTATAACCGATGATGTCGACATCTAGGAAATTCAGCAGCCCTTTTTCTCTGCTCTTCAGTGTGAATTTTTCGTAAAGTTGGGGCTTGTTGAAGACGTGAGCTTCATGATGTTTGTTTATCGATCCAGTCATCGAATCTGGACATGGAGCTCACATGACTCCAATGGGGTCAGTAGGCAGATGTGTAGTAACTAAATATGGAATGGCGCTGGCCATGTTTTACTCTATGGTGAGTAACATGTAAGAGCATGTCCAAATGCGAATGGGTTTGTGGGCCGAAAGATACCACGACAGTCCGGTGACAGGCCAATGAATCCGTTCAGCTGTAGTGCCCTTTCGGTGCCTAGCTGCTTTGCCACCTGAAGGAAGCACGAGGGCCGAGATACTGCCAAGTTGCCTAAGCCTAGACAGGGGAACTCGAGAGGCGGAGGTCGGGCTTGAACCACGGACCTTCCGGTCGGTAAATTCGCGCTCTAACCACTAGGGCCATCCCGCCCCCCAATGAATTCACAGACTTGAAAATTCGTGCGCACGTGATTGGTCGTTATTTTCATCAACACGCACACAGGTGAACAGTAGAGAAAATCGATGATGCGAATTCTCCACTTCGGCTCAGATCATTTGTCAGTGATATCTAGACAAAACAATATCAGTTGAAATCCTAACGGGACTTCGCTCTCCATCCTACAGATGCGAAAAATCAGTGAATATCTCATTGTGAACTTTTTGGATCCGGACGGAGCGCTAACACAATCTTTTGTCATGCTGTTGGAACTCCGGATGTCAACTCCGACCAAAGACCGAAGTACAAATGGATGGACACTTCAACCGTGTGACACCGAGGTTGCTCGCATTCACTTTGAACACTGCGTTGGCTACCCATGGTGTTTATTGCAATGTTGGCGGGATAGCTTCGATGAGTGGAACTTCACCTCTAAATGTATGGAAACCCTGACGCCATTCTGGGTACTCCACAGGTTCAGAACAATTGCTCCTCATTCCACAGATTCAACCGGGATCGATCCGCCATCTTTACGCGAATGTTGTCGGATTTCTATACGCACCTATTTGATAAAACTACAAAGTAAGCGGAGCTAACTGACCCTGTGAGGCTTTCTGAGACAGCCTGATGATATCGACCACAAGACTGTCCAGTATGCTGTTACTATCTATGGGTGTTTTCAGAGAAAATGGTGCAGCGCTGCCCACATTATTTAATAAAGGACAGTGTTGAGACTCATGACACTACTCATAAAGTCGCTGAAACCTCCGACTTGCCAAACTTTTAAGAATACTGCTCCCATCACCTACAGGAGAGACCATTCAACCTGTGCGGCGATGTTTCTAACTAGACTGCGTGCTACTGAAGGGTGGTAAACAAGTGGTCACTTCACACTCGTTTACTGTGGTGTAATTCGATTGTCCACGTAGACTGTCTATCCTGAACTTGTATTCACTTATTTAGGCCATGAGTGCGCGGGTCACTTCACAATGAGCGTAAGAGTAGGCCAACATGAAGGATAAGACAGAAAAACAAAATTACTCACGATGGAGAACATAGCTTCAATCAGGGACGAATACCCTCATTTGCGTAAGAATTTGGTTTTGAAAAGAGTGTCAACTAAGTCCCGCTGAATTCCTCGTTATGGTGACCGGTTCCAAGTAAAAAGTAGGGCTGACGGAAACTCAGAGACTGACTCAAGAAGGGCCAGATCTGTCGTGGACAGTTGAAAATTTTTCAACAACCTCATGAGTAGTGTGTTACGTCTAGAAGACTGCAATATTCTTTAAACATCTTTGAACCTGTTGTATTTCTGGTTCTCTAAGGATTGCGTGCGAAAATACGGTTACATACGGTTCACGTGAAGATGTAAAGTGTTGGCTCATGACCTTGAGTGCGACACTCGACGTGCTCTGCACCTATGAAACAGCTTCAGTTTGCCACGTGGTAGAAGTCTGTGGCGATAACGGAGACTTGGTCCTTTTGGACGTAGTAAAGACACACAATCGTGAACCATTGGCAACTGTCTAGCGACTGTCTGTCTAGGGACAGTCTAGCGAGTTCTCAATGCGACACATCCAAACAGTGTTCAAAATAACTACCAAGATTGCAGTAATCATATGTTTGCTGAAAATTCTTCGAAAGGTGGCGAAATGCACTCATTTGCAAACAAATTTGGTTTTGCGGGAGACTCACCTAGAACTCAATTGAATCTCTCGTTTTTGATTTTCTCAAGTAACTGAATGTGCTGCACCAGGCCGCACCATGTTTCAGTTACTACGATCTTCGAGATATCCCGATACATGCATAGGTGTAATGCACTACTTTTAAGGTTGCTGAAATCATGCCAACCTAATATACATGTATCGCGAAATCTCGAATATCGTAGCGACTGAAACTTGAGGCGGCCTGGTGCAGCACATTCATTTGCTTGGAAACATCACAAGCGAGAAACTAAGCCGGGTTCCGGGTGAATCTCTCGCAAAACTAAATTTGTTTGCAACTAGTGAGATGTTCAGGGGATATGGCGGCAAAGTACCAGCTCGAAGAAAACGACTGTCGTTATTTGCCACGCAGCTTGTGGATGAGGTTTTTTCGAACTGTCGCAGGTAGTGCACCGGAAGAATCCGTGTTTGGGTACCGTATGCGAACCGCCTGTGTGTCGGTATTCATACGACAGTGGTGGTTGACTAGGGTACCTTGTGAGCATTAGACTGTCTAGAACCTCAGGAGGCCTATACTCCATGTCAGTATGCACAATAGGCGTATTATACTTGATTCGCGCGGAACAACTTTTGGCACTCCGCTTCGCAGGGCACTTTCGGGAATTTTGCTTCGAGTTGGCTAACCGCTGTAGAAGTCAACACGGAGATGTCTGTTCAGTGAAGAAATTAGTCAAATCAGGTGAATTTGTGAATGTGAAACCTCCACCAGTAATCACGATACCAAATGAAAGCACGGTCTTGGGTTGTACCGTTTGTTCCTCTGGTAACCATACGGGAGACTCACCTGAATCCGAGATGAATCTCTTGTTGTTGAAGCAGAACATCACAAATGAGATATTCAGCTGAGACCAGTCTTTTCTTTTTTTGTTGAGTACCGCTCGCTCGTTAATGAGACAAATTAGTGACCTACTGTGACCATTTGAATCAAAGGTCTTCAGAGTGCGTGTCGCTGCAGGGCCCACCAACAACTGAACTTGGTGCACTTGGTCTCAGATATGGCATGATCTCTATGTCAACTACCAAGGTAAATGAACTGCCTGCTGGGGCAGTCGAGATACTGAAATTACGTTCAAACCGCAGGCTCACCGATTAGTAAGTTAGCGCCTTAATCATTGAGCTGTCTGAAACTCGTATGTCAGGCCAGTGTCGATTTATTGCCCTATATACTACTGCCTGTGATCTAAAACTGATTTGCACTTTTTTGACGTTGAAGGGTTTGACAAACCTCACTACCTCTTTACCCGAGTTTCCTTTGAGCCTGATATTCCTATTCTAACAAATCCATCTTCAAGAAATGACTTCCATTATCACCTCTATTCCCGCGACCCAGGTTCTATCGCAAAACCTTATTCACATAGTTCTCGCATGACATAAGTTCGCCTCTACCGGCATTTGCGTTTTTACACCGGACTCTGTGGCCCAAACAGATGGGGTGTTTGGCTTGCTTGAGATGTGGTGATTGATCAAGATGTCAGTTGAAGACAAATGTTTCTTGCAAGTCCCCATAAACGGCTGATTGAGGACAGCGCTTATCCTGATGAAATGTGCTACGAAGAAGGAGACCTGAGAAGGCACGCAATTTCCATTCCTTACTTCCGAATCCTCCAATTTGTGCTTGTCATTCTGGAAGATACTCGGATTGCTGGGAATCGGTCCCCGTTTACAAGATGCTTCATACAGTAATTGACCCTTTTGTGGAAAGATCTTTCTTGACCACAAGTGTGAATGCACCAGACAAACTTAAGCTCACATATAAACAATTTCCCTGTAGACTTTATACTGCATCTCCCTTGTAAATAGGACAACGATTGACAAAAATGGACGAGCAGTCCGGTTGTTATTTGTAGTCCACACTAATACTTTTTCAAGCCTCGATCGAAGAATGCAGTCGGACATTTGTAAGTAGGCAGTCACTTCAACAAGTGAACATCATTTAAGAACATTATAAATGAGAGATTCAGCTGGGTTCCAGGTGATTCTATCGACAAAACCAAATTGGTATGCAAATGGGTGTATTTCGTAAACATCAGTTTCGTTTTGCTGTGGCCATAAATCTACTGCACTCAGAATCAACCCAGACAGCTTCCAGGGTGCCACACCATTTGTTTGTATCGGAAATCTTCAAATCTTTGAACCAGTCGGGAAGCCAATCAATACGTGACCATGTGATTTGGTTTGGATGATGGGTGGCCCTGTGTCGTGTGAGATTTAATCACACTGCTGACCAGTCACTCATGGCCAAACGGTTGTGTTCGACCACTGCCTTGGAGGTCGCTGGTTCGAAACTCTGAGTTTTGTGTGATGCGCACTGTTGAGTATTTCCAACAAGGATGGCAAATGTACGGTGCTTCTCAGCTTGTAGCATAGATTGGTTTCACTGGCTGGAAAAATCCTCTATTTAAAAAAATGACATTTGATTACTTTGATGACATTCGGACTCGGTGAAACTCTGGCAGTATCAGCGTGTTCACCTTTGACATCACGACGCAATGAATCCGTTTCAGGGTTAATGGGACTGCGTCTAAGAAGCCTCGAAACCGCCCTGGTCCCCCTTCCGAGAAAACCAACTTCCCAACTTTTGTGTCCCCAAAATTTGCACGCATCTCTGGATGCCTCTGAAGTCCGGATAGTACGCTTAGGTCTCCATTATTCTCCAGTAGAAGGTCTAGGAAAGTTATTCTAAACCGTACTGCTCTAGTCTCGCGTGGTTTTCGAGCGAACCAATCGGAGAGCGCCGATTCGATTGATCCGAAAATACTTGAGCCAGCCGAGTTGATTGACAAGTTCCAGCAACAGCAACTGAGGCGTGACCATAAAACGGTCGAGTGGTCACTTTCGACTGGTGCTGGTACGACCTAACTTCACTTAGCAGAAGTATCGTCATGAACCGTTTTTTATCAGTAACTGAACCGATACACTTTTTTGTTCACAAATGTCAATACAATGCTAATACTCGAGATGACTGCACTCCACCGGTTGCGTTGCGACGTGCTGTAGAGAGGCAACACGATGTGAAAAGGAGGCAGAGTACAAACATGGCTTGCAGTTGTTCCGTCATAGAGTTTGATGAAACGTTTGTTGCTTACCAAGTTCGTTTTACCTCTCCTCACCGATTTCAGGAGATTTCGACAGACGCGACGATTACCTCAGCATGGTTAGGCGCTTGCACCTCCCGCCCGATCTATACGACTTCCTCGTTTTCAAGGAGCTGTGGCCCGGTGAAAATTCCCGTCTACCTCCACCTCCTAAGGCGTTAAATACCAAAGTACACCCTGATGGAATTTACAGAAGATGGGCTTGGGACGAATTTATCTGGATGTGGGAAGCAGCACTAAAATGCAGTGACTAGCTCGAGCGTGGTCAGTTCACTCGCTATCTCCATCGACATGCCATCAAGTGTGCCCCGTTACTTTGTAAAAGCTTACTGCCTTTCTGAAATTCATGATAAACAAAACCTCGAAACACAGTTCTTCTGTACTTACCTTGAGCATGTTACTTATATAAGGCTGAGGGAGACTCACAGTGACGAATATACTCTCATTCGCGAATCAATTTGGTTTTTACGGGAGACTCAACTGAATATCATAAATAGGAGATTCACTTGAGTCTCCCGTGAAAACCAAATTGATTTTCAGGTGAGTGTATCCGAGGAAATGATTACTTTTGTGCCTAAATTTTGTGTGTTCAGATGCGGTTGACGAGCTTTAGCCAAGCCAAAGCGATGCAGCCATTTGAGATCCAAGCGTACGTGAGTCGCCAGAATTCCTGCAGCTTTCCTGAAGGCATCTTCAGAATATTTCAAGCAATTTATACATAATACTCTGGAACTTGTCGTGTTTCATGGTGACTAAAGAGCCGAAAGGGCCAGAAATCCGTTTGCTGCGTCCAACCAAGAACACAAACATCTGCAGTCGAAGTTTCCATGAAACACGAGAAGAGCCGCAGTCGTTGGAACGCATGGCACGCTTCCCACGGTGAACGTACGGTCACCACACCCTCTTCCAGATCGGAACCCTACTCTGTACTCTCGAATCTCCGCTTCAACTATAAGGGAAGTCAGAGAACACGCCCCGACACAACCCGGACAGGGCAGAACGCAAAGATTGCCTCCAATATTTGGATGGCGCTGGGATATGCTCATCCGATCCAAAAGCCTGTAGTCGCTTCATGATAGAAAGGTATATCAGTACTTCAGAAACTAATAAGACACTAAACTCACGGCAAAGTACAGCAGCAAAGCATCAGTGTTGAACACCGATGCCATGCTGTCGATGATGATGATGATGACAATGATGATGATGATGTTGATGATGATGATGATGATAAAAAATGCAGACCATGTCTTAAAATGAGGAGTGAACGGATGACAGGTCAAAAGTATTTCACTCGCCACTCTCACTCATCAGTTGTTCTTCTAATATTGTCTCCGAGTGAGTCACTTACGTAAGGTCTCTCTTTGAGGAATAGTTGAAATACACTTCATGTATTCTCAACCGTGTTGAACTCTTTCATTTTTTTAAAACTCTGGTTCCCCCACCCCGCTCCGTCCACAAACAGGTTACGTTCGAGATGCCTTCTAATCGGATGTCCAGCATATTTATATTCTGTGCCTGAAGAGGTGGCACACTTCGCATCGCGAAAAAGTGGTGGCTGTTCTGAGATACAGCGGTTTCTGTGTACTTGTTCAAAAACCCTACACCTATTGTTGTTTCTGGCAATGCATCTATCTCATCCCAGCTATGCTCGATAACATCCAAGGCTACCTGTAAACTGCTGAACACCTAGCCTCGATGCATTCTGTCAACGTGTGACTTGCAAAGCTTTTTTACTGTTAAATTGAGTTCGTTTGTTGATCTAACCTAGTGAAAATGCACACCGAATAGGGGTGTGGTATCAATCAATTTGTGTACTCCAGAGAGACCGAAAATCGAATACTGAACCGCGCCGTCAGTAGTTGAGAAACGTGGCCAAATTAACTTCGACCGGCATCCGCGGGGGGTGGGCAGGGGATACTAGGTTACACAACGGCGCTCACTGCGTCTGCACTCAGTACTGCTAGGATAAAACCGCTTATCAGTACAAATTTGTAAAAGAAGCTCACCATATTTTTGTGTCTAGATAAGACATGCCTCCAAGACGTGTTCCGAATGAACTAAAGGCATGGAAATGCCCTGCTACTCTTCCTCGTGGACAAGTGGGTGGTTGGTTTTCAAAAGAACGCCTCTTTCCGTTAATCGGAGCTGCAGCTGGTTAGTACATAAGTGAACAAGACATTGCGCAAGTGTGATATCGAACAGCATACTATGGACAGCTAGACGCAACTCTAGGCGGCAGCTGGAATAACTCTTACGAAGATCAGGGAGATGTTCACAAATACAGAAGGTGTACTTTTGTGTGCGGTGTCGAGTGGCGCCAGTGTTTTATTGTTTATTCTATACTACTACACGCTTGATAGTAGTGAAATATAATCCGAACAGTTCCCGAAGGTGCGGTGATCCGGCGTGCACTGAACGCCGTTTTGGTGAGCAGTGACTGAAGAAGGATACAACTAATCGGATACGGGATAACAATGAGCAGTGAACGGCTATTTAGTCCTGGAAAGTTCAGATGTAGGCAAATATGTGTAGAATATGCCTTCTTTTCACACGTTTAACTTCTGTTCACCGATGAGGCACAGAGCGACGAAGCCTAACCCGTTCGTTTGTGTAGACTAGACTTAATTGTGCATTCATTTTGAAGAATGATGACTAACACAGTTAAGGTATTTTCCGCACTATTGCCTCGTTGCGGGTTGACAGGTATCACAATAGTGAGAAGGACTCATGGACGCCTGAATCTACGCCATTTAGTCAGAAACTACTATCCAAAAAGTGCGGCACTACTCATAAGGCTGCTGAAAATTCTTCAGGAGCCCACGACCGGTTTCACCCTTCTTGGGACTCATTAGGTAGGCGCAGTCCCCGAGTTTTCGTCAACCTTGTGTTCTACTTGAGACCGAATTGCACGGAATAAGCCTGGAAACATCACAAATGAGAGATTCAGCTGATTCGAAGAGAGTCCTCGAAAAACCAAATTTGTTTTCAAGCGAGTGTATTGCGCTACTATGATTATCGGCACACTAGTGAATCAACCAGGCACTTTCTGTTGCTATCGCTGTTTGAGAAGCGCTTCATTTTATCTGTAGACGTTAATATCGATACTAGTAGTATCAATTAGTAGTATCCATCATTGTTGATTGGTGATGTGTACGGTTTCCGTGGGAAGGAAAACCAAGCAAACAGAAAACAGGGCAGCGTGAACAGTCATCACACTGGGCAAGACTGCTGGGCTCTTTGTTCATGCAATGCACGCGTCCGACATATGAAGAACGTTTGAACCGTACAAAAGTTTTCATATTTTGTTTTCTTTATTCTGTTCATAATTTTGCTGTGAGTCTGTCTGTGCGATTGCAGACTGTAACGCCAGGGCGAGATATCGTATCTTCGTTGAACGCAGAGTTCATCTACTGGGTACTAAGACAGGTGGAACTACCCTGGCTATCTTTTACCAAATCTATGCGCTCAGGTTTTCACACGTGATATTCTCCCTTCGGAGGGACTGGTCTATCTGGTCCCAGAAATGTTCCCCCTCCTCACCGAGAGGGGCCATCATGATGGAAATGCTCTTTGTCAGATCTATCAGATGATCGCCGCATGGTGGTGATGGACTACTTACTTCCGTCACGTGTATGATATCGATCGATTGAGCAAGCGCACAGTTGTGCTGTGAATTAAATAGGGTAAGGTAGTACAGTGGAATAAAGTGTTGTATCCTAATTCGATAATATCCTAAGGAATGGTTTAGCGCAACTTAACATCTGGGGGAAGTTAGAGTCGTGGACTATCGGGTAAGAACGAACGTCAGGCAGACCGCAAGGTAGCTTAACTTCGGGAACAAGATACAATGTCACCCACTTATCCAAGAAGGCCAGATAGTAATAAATGTATTCAATGTATTCAAGCCAAAAATTTTCTACCAAGCTGTGAGCGAAAAAGACAGACCCACAGAAGCCGGGACCACCACCTTCCCCGATCAGACCATCGGTCAAATAGGCAGAGCGATGAGCCGTGTTGTGTAACAGAACCGGACGCCATGAAAACGATCCAACACAGCACGTACGTCACAATTCAAACAACTGGTCTTTAGTTTAGCAAAGTGCACGAAGCACCTGATGATACATGATAGTTCCCGAAAGTTCCGCATGAACACTAAATTTTTTACTGTTGGCTAATATAACGAAGTAGTGTTTCATCCAAATGAGAGCACCCGCGTTTTCTTTTTGAAGATGTTAACGGAAAACCGTCAAGCAAGAGCTCAACACAACTTAAATCCACACTGAAAACCTCTCCATCACTGCCGGCATTCGAAATTTACTCCGCATTGTTGGAAACGGGATTTTTTTCCCTAATTTTCTGGTACGTGTGAAATCAGTTATTCATACCTTATTCTCCTATAATTAGCTGAATTTTCTCGAACACGAAACATCTTCAGTGAAAGTGAATCTTTGACGTATACCTCAGGATAAACCGTTGTCTTGATACTTTCACCGATTTCCAGACAAACCCACATTTTCTGATCGCGAAAGGCCAGTGGAATTAAGGCCTGCCCGCATATAAACGAAATAATCGATATCATGAGGGTAGGCACTGGGCAGAATCGATAGCACGTAGGGCAAAGCACAGTATGGAAGTGATTCTTCGTTTCCTTTCAGGACCACATAGATCTCACTAAATCTGATTTCCCCTTGATACACAAAATAGCTTTTAATCAATTGGAAAATTTTTGGGACCGAGTGGGTAGTCATTGCTTCAGAGAGGTTTGGTAAACAATAAATCAGTTCACCGATTGCGACGAATACAGTTATTCGCAAGTCAATTCGATTTTCTCGGGAGACTCGAGTGAATCTCTCGTTCATGATGTTCTTCAACTGAATGTGCTGCACTCAGGCCGCCTCATGTTTCAGTTGGTACAATATTCGAGATATCGCAGCATATTTTCATTAAGAAAACTCGGGGACTGCGCCTATCTGATGAGCCCCAAGAAGGGCGAAACCGGTCGTGGACTGTCGAAGAGTTTTCGGCTAGGCGCAGTCTCCGAGTTTCCGTCAGCCTTTTGATCTACTTGAACCCAAATTGCACTGTTTTCGAAAAATACACTTATTTGCAAATCAATTTGGTTTTCACGAGAAACTCAACTGAATCTCTCGTTTAGGATGTTCTTCAGCTGATTGTGTTACCGCCTCATGTTTTAGTTGGTGCGATATTCGAGATATCGCAGTATACTTTCATAAAGGAAACTATTCACAATCGAGTAGAACATAAGGTTGCCTGCCTGCTGAGCCCCAAGAAGGGCGAAACCGGTCATGGGCTATCGAGAAGTTTCCAGCAACCTAGTGAGTAGTTTCGTTTGTGGAAATCCACCGACTGTTTACCAAACCTCTCTGAAACAAGTGGCTTTGTTGACAGCGATCTGGCTACATTCGCAAAGGGTTTACTACTCTGTTGCGCTGACCGCGTGTGAGTGTCAATCTTCCGGTCCACAACGAATAAATTTCCTGCCGACAATATCTCATTTAAATGACATGTTGAGGAAGTAGATGAGCATAATCGATATATCTTTTCGAAAAAATAGTTTTGTATTGCTGAACGCCTGGTAACCGACAGCAAAAGAAACAGTGTTGCCAAACAGTGTTTCGTGGAATTTGGTTCCAAGTAGTACATAAGGTCGACAAAAACTCGGGAACCGCGCCTACCTGATGAGCCCCAAGAAGGGTGAAACCGGTCGTCGTCTGTCGACGAATTTTCAGCAACCTTATGAGTAGTGCATTACGATATCTCTAATATCGTAGCGACTGAAAAATGAGGCGGCCTGGTGCAGCACATTCAATTGCCCGGAAAAAGCACAAACGAGTGATCCAGCTGGGTTCCAGGTGAGTCTCTCGCAAAACCAAATTAGTTTGCAAATGGGTGTACTTTGCTGTTTGAAGATCTACTTTGTTGCCCTAATGCGCTGTTGGAATGCTATCATCTGTTTGTCGTATCCTTAACAGTTTGATGACCGTGTCGATGGAAATATTTGCTTCATTATACTATGCGATTTACTTCATGACGAAGCTTCCCAGCACTTTACCAT